ACCAACTGATTCTAAAACATAAATGGAAATGCAAGGGGGCCAAGATTAACCAAGACAATCTTGAAAAATAATAATAATGTTTAACTTCAATATAAAGTTATAGTAATTGACACAATGTGATATGGGCACACAAAGGTAGGCATATAAATTCACTAGAATAGAGAGCACAGAAACAGATACCCACACATATATTCACCAGATTTACAACAAAGACAGTGCTTCCTTTCAGTGGGAAAGGGTGGTCATTTCATGAAATGGTGTTGGAACAACTGAACATCCTACCTCATGCCATACAAAAAAAATTAATTTCAAGTGAATCATAGACCTACATATAAAAGATAAAACAATAAAGCTTCCAGAATATGTTGGATAACATCTCCTTAGCTTGAGGTAGGTAAATATTTCTTACACGAGATCCAAAAAACACTAACACTACAAAAGAAATCATTGATAAATTAGACTTAACTTAAAATTAAGAGCTTTTCTTCACCAAAAAACACTATTAAGACAGTGAAAAGAAAAGCCACAGAATGTGCGAAGATACACACCACACATATGTCCCACAGAAGATTCATATGTAGAACATCTGGAGAACATACAGAAAGAACTCCTAATAATTAGAAAGAATAACACAATCCTCAATTTTTAAAAAATAGGCAAAATAGCAGACATTTTATAAAAGAGGATATCTATTAATAAATTACCAGTAAGCATAGGAAAAGATGATCAAAAGCATTACTTATCAGGGAAATGCAAAGTAAAACCTCAGTGAGAGACCCTGAGTGGTGGCCCCCATAAACCCAAGAATTTTGGGAGGCAGAGGCAACAGGATCACTTGAGGCCAAGAGTTTGAGACCAGCCTGGGTAACATAGAGAGACACCGGCTCTACAAAACAATTTTTTTAAGTTAGTTGGCCATAGTGGTGTGCCTATAGTCCTAGCTACTCAGGGGGCTGAGGCAGGAGGATTGCTTGAGCCCAGGAGTTCAAGGCTGCAGCGAGCTCTGATCATGCCATTGCCCTCCATCCTGGGTGACAGACTGAGACCCTGTCTCTAAAATTAAAATTAAAAAAAAAAAAACCCTCAATGAGATACCACTATATATGGATCAAAATGGCTAAAACTGGGGGGAAAAAAACTAACAACAGCAAATGTTGAAAAGAATACAGTGATTGGAACGCTCGTACATCGCTGGTGGGGTGAAAATTAGCCTCACCACTTTAAAAACTGGTGATGTCTACTAAAGCTACTCTGTGACCTATCAATTGTACTCTTACGTCTATACCAAGAAAACAAAGCAAAGCTAATGAAAGAGACTTCATGGTTCAAATGGCTTTGACACACCATATTTGCAAGTTAACAAGTCAGGCTAGGCCGCGTCTCACCAGTAGCTATCACTTGCCACTTTTTACCTGATTTCTCATAGCTTAACTTTTCCTGCCTTACGATATATCATTGGTTTTATAAGCCAGTTCAAAAAAGTGTCAGGATGAAGCTGGGTATAAGTAAGTAGCAAATGAAAACCTACCTTGACAAAGATGATGAAGAAAGGGAGATAAAGACCAATCTCTGCCCGCCTGCCGCCTCCACCTGCCGGCCTCCTGGCCTGCTACTTTCTGGGCCGAAGAGCCGGAGCGGGGCTGACTCAACGTCAGCGACCATCTGTGCTCTCTCAGGCCCAGATTGGGCTTCCCACCATGGCTCCCAGGGACCAGAACAGAGTCTGAACTGACTCGCCGAGAAAGCAGAAAAGAGAAGTGAAAGCATTTGTGCAAATGATAATAGATGGCAGATATTTTGGGTCGCCTATTCCAATCTCCAAGCTTCTCGACTCTCGTGGGGGAGCAGCAGTAGGGAACTGAGGAGAAGGACGTATGGAGTCAGGACGTGGAGGACCAGAGGGAGGCACAGCCCAGGGGCAGGCGCAGGAGGCCAGCTCCAGGGAGCCCGTGGGAGACTGGGGCCACGTGCTTGTGCCAAGGAAAGAGGCGGAAGAGTCGACTTGGCCAAAATTGACTGAAGCTGTTTCCAGGTGAAGTTAATGTAGGAGAGCAGTAAACCTCTACGTTTGCCTCCTCTCCTCGCAGAGGTCACCGTGGCAGGGAAAGAGAAAGACAGAAACTTCCAGCTTCTCTCCGGCCTGTGGGTTGGCCGGGCACACGGTGACCTCGACTGGACAAGTTAGACCCCAGGCGTGTAGACACAAGGCTGGAGGGAGCTGAAATGCTCTGCCTTATAAAGTGGGGGCAATGTTCTCAGCGTTTCTGGAAAGCAGCCAGGGAGGAAAGAAAGAAACCTCTGGACCACGAGAGCCAGAGGCAGGAGCCAAGTTGGTAAAAATAGCCAACCTTTCAAAGGTAGGGCAGGCACAAGGCTTTTTAAACATGCACTCAGAATTCTTTGACTCTCCCCCCATCGAGAGGTGGGGTCTAGGCCCCCTTTTATTGAATCTGGCCTCTGTGACTGCTTGACCAATACGACATGGAGGAAGTGACGCTGTGCTGGGGTCCAGGCCCAGACCCCGAGACCCAGGCAGCAGCCCCAGCCAACGACCGGGTGGGACTGCGTACTGCAAGCAGATCCTCCGGGCGCAGTAGGGCCGCCAGGAGATACCCACCTACGGCAGAGACAAGCCATCCCCACTGAGCTCTGCCCAAGCTCGGACACATAGCAAAATAAAACGTGATTTTTGCTGTTTTCAATCACTGCATTCGGGGCAGTTTTTTTCATAGTATTATAACGGGAACAGACTTTGAGGTGAATGTTATCGTAACAAACACCAAACAGGTGGCACTGGCTGTGGGCCACGGAGCAATGGGTGGAAGCCTAAAGTGCCCGCGAAGCTGTCGGGGACACTTACGGGAAGGTGAGAAACGCTGGTAGAGGCTGAAGGGAAGGAGACCCTCGCTGCGCCGGGGCGGGAAGCTTTACAAAACTCTCACCTGCAGTAACGTGGAAATAGAAAATGTCCCTAACAAACTCAATGACCTAGTTAAGGAGATTTCTAGGCAGAGGGCTGAGAAGGCCAAGAAGGCTTCTCGTGGGATGGGCCAGAGGGATCGGAACCGAGACCGCCTACGGCAGTGGCCCACAACCCTCTTGGCACCAGGGACTGGTTTCGTGGGACACAATTTTTCCGTGGAGGGAGCAGGAGATGAGAGTCTCGTAAGGAGCACACAACCTAGACCCCTTGCATGTGCGTTTTACAGTAAGGCTCGCCCTCCTGTGAGAATCTAACGCCGATCTGAAGGGGGGGCGGAGCTCAGGCGGTGATGCCGGTGATGGGGAGCGGCTCTAAATACAGATGAAGCTTCGCTCGCCCACCGCTCACCTCCTGCTGTGCGGCCAGTTCCTAACAGGCCACGGCCCGGGGATCGGGGACCACAGGCCTAGAACGTAAGGGGCGAGATCAACAGACAGCTACATCTACGTCTGCACACAAGGATTTTTTCACTCATACTCTGCCATCATTCAAGAAAAAACATAAAGTGACTTTTTTAAATACTGAAAATGTATCAGCATGACGATATATTGGAACAAAGAGAAACGGAGAATAGGACATGAACCCAAACCAGAGATTAGAACTATAGGCAGAACCATGGAGGCAGCTGAGAGCCCCAGGGGTGCTGGAACCCAGGGCCAGAGGGCGGCTGCAGTGAGGGTTCAGGGGCCAGAGCAGGCAGTGATCGGGAACAGTGTCTCTTCTGAGTCACGTTCCGCTGGATTCACCTTCTTCAGGACAGAGGGGTCCGTGCCCAAACACTAGAGAGCGTGGGGAGAAGAGTTTGCTTCCTGGCTGGCTTTCTGTCCACGCAGATTTGACTGGGACAGAGCCCAGGACACGGGTGAGGACACCTTCACCAGCAGGAAGGCTCGCTGTGCCCACCAGACAATGCACACGCCTGGCTCCCTCTGTCTCTCTGCCCTCGGTATCTCTCTCTCTTTGCTTCTGCTATGTCTCTCGTGTGCCACAAAGTGAAGCTGAGGCAGGATGTGCTCCCTCGGAGCAGCCCCGTCTCTCCCGAGCTCCGGTCTTTCACTCCTGCCCACCCTGCGGCAAGGTGACCTCAACAAGACCTGCTACTGGACACCCTTGCTCCTCCTGCTGCTCCCTCCCCTCCCCTCCCTCCCCTCCCTCCCCTCCTCCCCTCCTCCTCCCTTTCCGTTCCCTCCTCCTCCTCCTCTCTTTCTCCTCCCCTTCTTCCCCTCTTCCCTCTCCTCTCCTTCCTCCTCCCCTTCCTCCTCCTCCGTCCACCTCCCCTCCAGCATCCAGACTCAGCTCCTGTCCTGGCCCTGTTCCAGGCCACTCTGAGCAGAGAGTGGCCCAGAGGTGCTGACTTCTCTGACCCCTTGGCATGAACAAAGCACTTTGGTATTCTTCAGATGTGGAATGTCAGGGTTAGGACTCGTGGTTCAGAAAGAACCCCCAAGCCCCAGTCTGGCCAATAGTGCTGCAGCATCACACAATGGCCTGCTCACAATACACTGCAACTGAGTCCCCAACTCCCTAAGTCTTTTTTTTTAATAATTCCGATTCACTGTGGAGCCTCACTGGAGAAGGGCTGTCTGTGACCAGATGAGATTTGGGCATTCCTGACGCTCCTTCCTATCATCACCCATGACAACAAGGGACTCTGTAGTGACACATGAGAGCAGCTTCTGCTCCCTCCCCAGCCACGGGAACAAGGAGAGGACATGGGCCTGCTCACAGCAGCCTTAGGGGCAAAGCACACTGCCCACCACCAGGGGCAGACTCCCCCCACCTGCCCTTTGAGTGCCTGTGACCCGTCACTTGTCACTTGGAGTTAGGAGATGGCCTAGGCAGAGTCCCCGTCACAACCCCTGGGTAAGGGCCTAGCCAGCTGGCTGGGTGGGCAGACACACAGAAGCCTGGCTTGCAAGGGGCGGGGCCCCAGTAGGGATGGAGTCCTTGTGACTCAGGCCACCCATGGCCCCAAAGAAGAAAGATCCATTTAGGGCCCAGCGTGCCCGCACCTCACCCTGCAAGGGCAGTGACGGTTCAAGCGGCATCCACGGGCCTCCCCGAAGGAAGGAAGCTGACCTCCCTCTGGACGGCAAACGCCTCGCCATAAACGGCACAGGCTTCTCAGCCACTGGGTGAGCGGAGGAAGGAATTTTCCATCGTAGCTTGTTTTGCCTCTTGATTCTGCTTCTCACCAGAGCTCCACACGAGGCCACAGCAGAAAGTCCCAGCGCCCGGGAGGCTTTCCGGGACTTCGGGAGCTAAAGGAACACGGGTGCTGCGGGAGGAAAGCACTCCAGGGGCCCCGCCCAACACGCTCAGCACGTCTGGGGCTAGAAGCCAGGTGTCCCGGAGTCTCGGTGTCTATGCCAGCACCTCCGACTCCAGGGCAGTGGTCAGTGGACCCACCTTGGGAAACCTCCCCTGCGCTCGGCCTTGGCGCCGCGGAAGCTGGGAATCGGTGCACCCTCCCGCGTGAACGGTCCCCGCTTCCGATCGTCTTCTCCACTTTGGAATCCCACCCAGGCCTGGCGGGGAACCGCGGCAGGTCTCTCGTGGGTGAAGCTTATCTCGGCCCCCCCTCCCTCCCCCTCTGATGAAAGCACGCCCCCTCCATTAGAAGAGGGCTGGCTATGGCACTGAGCTGCGGGGAGCTGACTTGTGCGACGCGAGGAGAATTTGTGTTGGGAATGAAGGAAACGGTTTTGGAAATTAGCGGTGGTGATGCACGCGCCACATCGCGAATGTATTTAACGCCACTGAACTGCACACCTACAAATGGTTAGGTGACAAGTTGACAGTGATGAATGATGAAATATCATTTAAATGATAAAATGATAAACATTATGCTGTGCGTATTTTGCCACAGTCAGTGACGACGATAGCGATGAGAGGGGCTCGTATTATTTGCATTTCGAGCCGCGTGTGCATCGCTGCAACCAAGCCGACACGTGGCGCTCTCTGCAGAGCCCGGGCGGACGGCAGGTCTGAGAGCAACTGGGGACAGAAAAGAAAACGGGGGGAGGCTTCTCAGGTTGCTGGGGGCGACAGGCTGCAGAGAACGGACTTCATGGCCAACATCCTCGGAAGTTTCTCAGAACCAGGCTGGGCTGCCCCTGCTGGATCAAGCGTCTACCAGGCAGCAGCAGAGCCGGGGCTGTCACTAAGCGAGCCTTCCGGAGTCCCCTCCTCCCCAGTTTCAGCCACGCCCCAGTGCCGGCTGGGTTTGGCCGCCAAGTTAACAGTTTATCAGAAAAGGAAACGGAAGTGAAGGAAGTAAGAAGGAGGGGGTGGCTGGCGCCAGTCCTCGCTCGTCCCGAGAGGAAGGAATTCCGAGCAGCGCCAGTGCCTTTCCCGGACCGGTCGCCAAAGCCGGGCTGCGGCGCCCCTGCCAAGCCCCGGGTCTGGCTTCCCCGCACCCCCCAGCAGACCCGGCAGGAAGCAGGGCGGAGGCCCCGGCCTCCCTCCTTGCACAAGCCCTCTTGCTGCAAGGCCCCTGCTAGCACAACTTCCCCCCCTGGGAGCCCCATTTCTCAGAACACCCCGCCCCCGCCGGGTGGGGACCTGTCCTCCCCTAACCCGGATGCTGCACTGAAGCCATACACAGGAGTCCAGTGTGAACACGCTTTTGACCCAGTTGGTAAACAGCCATTTCCCTGAACCCGTCAAGGAGCTCAGGAAATGCCACCCCAAAACAGGCCACTTCGGTATACTGGCTACTTTGAGTTGAAGACACATGAAAAACAGCAAATGCAGAGAGAGGCCTTCTCTCAACTCCCCTTTCCTGCCCAAAGAGAGACCCTCAGTCCCCTCCCGGGGAGTCTGACCTGCCAGGAGGGGAGGCTGGAAGCCCCCACACCTGGCAAAGCATGTCTTCTTCCGGGGCCCATTGATCTCGCCCAGAATCATCTACTCCCCCGAGTGGCCTCCACCCCCACTCCCCTCTGTCTTGTGCCGAGGGTATATAACAAGCTCCCAGCCCTCCCTGATTGCACGCACTTGCCCCTGAGCAGGTAAGAAATTAGCATACCTTACCTGCTGTTACTGTGCCTGCAATTAGTTTACTTCATAGTTATGGAACCCACAGAGAGTAGAAAGAGAGTCTTCGCCCCCCTGCAGCCCTGAAGACCCTCCCTCCACCCTCCCAGACCACCCGGTCAGCAGCAGCCTGGCCCCCGGGATCCTCCTGGAACCCGCTCCAGACCGCATCAGGTGTCAGTTCTGAGCGGCAGGAGCACACAGAGCACAGAGACAGGCAGGGCCCTCGTGCTGGGGGTGGTTTTTAATTCTCATTTAGGAAGTAAAACTTTATTTGAAATTTGCCTTTTACTGCCAGTTCTCTCCCCTAGAATTTCAGAACCGGTTTCCGCCCCCCCCCCTTCAGATTCTCCAGAAAGGCTGCGCTGCCCTCTAGTGACGTAATGTAGCTGTTGCACAGTCCCCTGTGCAAGGCTCTTCTAACTTTTCCTCTGGTAATTCATCCTGTTGTCTGTCCCTCCTGGGAAATGTAGAAGTCTTTTTTCGACCCTCTAACGAAACATCAGAAAATCAAGGTTATAAGTGCCATTATTTCTTCTAAATAAAGGAATAATGGTGGAATAACATAAGGAAGGGATGCATGCGCTAGTTTTCATATTTGGCAGTTCATGCCCCTGTACGTGCGTTTACGACCTAAACAGAGACATCTTACTTCACATTGTGAGGAAGGTGCTGTATCTTTGACTCTTTCCCATCCCCTTTATGATCATTCCATCGTCCTAGGTCCCTCAGGGCTTCTCTGTGCCTAGGCGTCCCTGCGGACAATGATCCCTGCCCACCCTGGGTTTCCCCCTAGGGTGCAACTCTCTGAAGTGAAGCTCCCCACGAAGCAACTTGGGTTCCCAGGGGCACACAGCAGTAAGCCAGGGGATAGTGAAGTCCCAGAGGACTGAGGTAGCACCCGGACACCCATCTGGACAGCGGCCACCCCAGCACAGGGCCTGTCGGCTGCCACTGGCTTCCCCTGTAGGTCCTTCCTTCAGGTGGGGTCTCCAGGGTGGCTTCAGCAGAGAAGGGAAAACCGGGCTTATGAGGTGAGCTTAACACAGCAGAGAGTTGTCCACCAGGGGAGACAAGAAGTGGGTTGTTGTAAGTGGATGCCGTTACGGCCAGGGCATTTGTCCCGCAGCGTGGATGAGTGCACAGCGTCTGGCCGTTGCTCTGGACCTGATGTGTGGTGAAGTGGACCCAAAAGAGGTGACTTTGTAGCAACTACTCAGCCCCGCCATTGTAACACAAAAGCAGCCTCAGACAACATATAAACAAATGGGTGTGTCTTTGTCCAATAAAACTTTATATACAAAACAGACAGCGGGCTGGATTTCGCACATGGGCCATAATTTGTCAACACCTGGTATAGAAGATAAAAGCGTTAATTTATTCTCTCAATAAATATTAACTGTGTTGCTAAGCGAGCTGTTCCTAACCAGACCCCGTCTCTGCCCTCGACAAACTGCTGGCATGGCAGCGAAGGCACAGTTTAAACAAGAAGTTTTAAGGAAGTGTAGGCAATGGCAGAGATGGCAGAACAGACAAATGAGAAAATGCCACTTACGCTGAAACATAAATATTTATAAAGATGCTGGATTTGAGGTCCCTGTGACATATGCAGCAGAGACATAATTTAGACAGGTATATTTATTGAGTCCAGAGCTCAGAAAGCCAGTCTAGACTGTAGGTCGAATCTGGAAGTCACTGAAGCCTTGGGAGAGGAGAGTGAGTGGCGGAGAGGAGCCATGTGATTGTCCACACCTGAACTTCTCAGGCACCTGGGAGGCTGCTTAAGACGCAGATTGCTGGGCCCCTACCCCTGAGTCTCTGATTAAGTACCTCTGCTTTGGAGCCAAAGAATTTGCATTTCTATCAAGTTCCCAAAGAAGAAGGTATATTTGGACTATAGTTAGGTTTTGAGAAAAGGCCTTTTAATCACAAGCCAAGGGTAACCAGGAAAGATAGCTCCTTGTATCCTCCAGGGGAATAATAGTATCTTGTGAGAAAGTCCAAGATTCTGTCAATTTGGTTAAGAGGTCAAACAAGAAGCTCAAACTAAAAAAAAAAAAAAAAAGCATCATCCGTGGGATGGACCCAAAGTCCATTTCACTAACCTCAGTCATCTTGGACTATCTAATGCAGAGCAACAAATGCCTTCCATGATGCTGGGTATCTCATGGACTTCCTTATGAACAGTTTTTAAAGAAGCAACCTTGGTGGGCATTGATCAATGAAACAGAAATTGCTACGACACGATAACTCTAAAGGTGGAAATCTGCCCTCCATTGGGCAGTGCTAGCCCTTGACTTAATTTCCTTAGAACTGAAGAGAATGTGGCTTTTGTCACCATGGCTCCAGCCCATAAAATAATCTGGTTGCAATGGGCCCCAGGAGAGACAGATCTCAAGACTTAGTGAAAAGATTAGGAGCAAAGATTTTGGAGTCAGGCAGGCACAGGTTTGCTTTCTAGATCTGTCATTTACTTTGAGTGACCTGGAGCACAAGAGTGCTGGGATTACACGCGTGAGCCCCCACGCCCGGCCGGGATATTATTTTGGATTAGTGGGGTGGGATAGATGATTCAAAAAATGGTCTCAGGGAGACCAGCTACCTTTTGTCCTTACCCCCAAATAAACTTAAGATAGATTTTTTAATGTAATGCAAAAATTAAATCATAAAAGAAGAAAAAAAAGAAAACATGTGAATTTAGTTATATTCTTGGCATAGAAAAGGCCTTTGTAGCATAATATATCCAGACACCATAAAAGGAAAAAAGATTTTTGACTGTTCCCTAAATAAAAACTTTAAACTTCTTTGAGAAAAACAAACCAGGAGAAATTTTTTGCAGACGTATGGCTATTTTCCTTAAACCCAATGAAGTCTTTATAGCCAACAATATGAAAAATAACCTAATAAAAAAAAATGGGCAAAGGAAATGAACAGGGAGGCTGTTCATAGGAAAATATGGAAACAACCATTAAGCATGAAAAAAATGCACAACTTTACATTTTAAAATAATTTTTAAAATTGACTATATGGTTAACAACAATGTATTGTATATTTCAAAATAACTAGAAGATTTGGAATGTTCCCAACACAAGAAATGATTAATATTTGAGATGA